GAAGTAAGTTTTGTTGTAAGAAGCACGAGTAAGCAAACAAGAAAGCTCACAGTGGTTTTTCACCTCCCATCGGCCCTTGGCTAAATCGCGGCAGCAACGCTCAACGTATGAAGAAGTAGAGGCCAATTGGCATACCCAACCCTCGAGGTCCTGGACCGCTCCAGGAAACTAAGCAACAGTTGCATCATCAGAAAGGAATTATATCGGTAAAAAGACAAAAATAGGAAAGGAAAAATGGGAGCAAGATATGAATTTATTTATGTTTCATATTCCATTCCTCGGGGAATGGCATCCTCTCAGCAGGGATCAGGTCAAAGGTCCTGACTCGGACAAAACGGCTCATCCACCCTCGATCTTTGTCCTCGTCAATGCTGAGGAAAAGAGATTTCAAGGATCGGCATTGCAATTTTATCAAACCATCTCAGTACAATTGAGGTCTGTACAGCCTAATTAGGTGGTCGAGGGTGAAAGGCATCCCCTCGGCCTAGCTCGAGAAAAATCTGATCAGATGTACAATCGGCCAGAATGAAGGATAGATCTGGCCAAGCGTCACTTGGTATCATTGGTAGAAGTCGATAATAACTAGGTCTATGGGACCAGAGCTGGATTTGTTGGGCCCAGCATGAATGGGTTGGTATACACGCTTAAATACCCCGCTTTATGGGTAGTGATGTCCTCTTCTGAGGAAAGAATCACTACACCTTTTCCACCCTAGTTGCAATCCTTCTTTACTTACACGAGATCGTCTTTGGTTATCAGACAGACATATCGAAACATGGGCTCGCATTGGCCTGGCATCGATACAGGTTTCTCAATCTTGAAATCAGACGTTATTTCGCATGGTAGGGGAACGCACTCCTCAATACGAGAGGGTACTACTGGTTTACCCTTGGTTGATCAAGTATATGAAGAAGCATTTTCCTTTTGGGGAACCGATTTAGAAGTCTTGGCAATTATAATATGGAAATTCAAGAAAATAGAGAATGCTGATAGTGAAGAGAAGGCAGGATTCAGAGAAATCAAAAGAGCTAATAAGACTTTGTGAATTATATGAGAATAAAGTTTGCAAGAGTGTGAAGTTTATCTATTTATAGAGGTCATTTAAGCATGCTGAGGAAGCTGAAAAGCCAACCGTCAGTCGCCTCCAATTAATAACTTTGGGAACCGCACAAAAAGCAACCTTTCAGACACTTCAACCGCTGACGCCACGAGATTGGCATCAAGATCGAGGCATCGAAGATTAATTCATTTTTTATAAAACTATTTCGAGTTCGAGCAAAGTGTTCACTCGACTACTAAGCCCAAGGGCTACCCGAGTTCGAGAAAAATACTCACTCGGGGACTATAAAAAGGCCTAAGGGTTAAATCTATTTCGAGTTTGAGCAAAGTGTTCACTCGATTACTAAGCCCAAGGGCTACCCGAGTTCGAGAAAATACTCACTCGGGGACTATAAAAAAGCCCAAAGGCTAACTCTATTTCGAGTTCGAGTAAGTGCTCGCTCGAATACTAAGCCCAAGGGCTACTTGAGTTTGGGAAAATTCTCACTCGGCGATTATCTACGCAGCCTAAAGGCAAACTTTATTTCAAAGACGAGACCTTGCTCTCACTCAACTCGGGAGTTCCAATGTCCAGAGCTCGCAACAAATTGATTCAAGCTTAGCTCGAGGATTAGTAAGAACCTTAAGAGGTATTTTTTGATCGATTGAAGACCTAAGGGTTATTTATGTCCCGAGTTCGGTATTTGGACTAGTTGCGAAAAGTTATACGATCAGATTTCCCACAAGTAAAAGCGGACTGAAATTCAACACGAGCCAACATGGAAACAAATGAGTCCTTTTATATTTACAAGAGATGATTGCAAAATATCACTACCACATCCGCGAAGGGTACTTACACGGGAACAAAGAAGCAAAAAACAAAACCCAAGAACTTAATATACTTTTAAGACCACGTCCTCAAGAGCTTCATTTTCAGGAACCACCATCCTGGGGACCCCATTTTGATCTTTAGAAACGTTTGTGTGCCCGAGGAGATTTAGGGTATAAAGCCCTCGAGATATGTAACTATGTCTCCAGCGGCAGGGGTTGAGTATTCCGTTGAAATTTTGGGCCATAATCCGTAAAAAAAAAAAAGAACAGCAAAAGAAAAAAACTAGAAGGGAAGACCAGAAGATGTAGCTTCACCTTCTATTACAAGAAAAACCAAAAGGGTTGCAAGATGCACGAGCAACGATCCAAGAGTGTTCATCCTTGGAACATTATTTTCGGTGTGGGATGCAAAAGTTAGAAGATGATAGTGCCACCTCATTCCATGGAAAGTAAAAGGAACGAAGTGGCACATCAGGTTGAAGTTAAGAGATATGAACAGTAGTGTAAAGTCCGCATATCTTCTAATATGGGAAGAATTCAGCGCCCTTCTCTCGTTGTCTCGAGTCGAAGCTTTGAAAAAGGGAGCCTTGGAGTAACTGATAAAATTATTGTCATGTGACCTTGTGATCACAGATTCGAACCATGGAAATAGATGATTAGAGAAGGAAGTAAAATAGGGAAAAGATCAAAAATAGATAAAGATGGGATAAGTACAGTTTTTTGCAGCCTCATATTTATAGAAAGTCGTCGACGGAATCGGTGGCGCAAGTGGCTGACCAGTGATGGAACGCATTTGATGTTTTGGGGAATGTGCTGACATGACATTTCAGATCACTTCAAGTGCCTACGTCACGAACATGATGTCATCGTGATAGGTTCGAGAAAATCGAGGTTCAAATTATTTCTTATCATCTTATTCTAAGAAATGCGGGGACTATCTGTATATGGTCGAGATCATAACCTTCCGATTTATAGGCTCGGTGCACCGTCCTGAGTCCGAAGTTCGGTCGAGATCAAGTTTGAGTTAGATAGACCAAGCCCAAGTTCAAAGGCGAAGCACGATGCATACCGAGGTCGAGTGTGTTCGATCCCAAAATAGTATCGTTGGGGATTTGTACCAGGACGAGTTAAATTCCTGCCACGTCCCCAAAGTCATGGCGCAAATCCTAGAATATGATTGTACTATTCCGTACTAGGTGGTTAGACAACTGTACCAAGAATATTCCTTACTGTAAATATAAATATTCCTTATTTAGGGCTCCCATATTATATAAAGGGGATCCCAATCATTTGTAAGAACACATTATCATCACTGAGCAAAGAATATACTCTCTACCTTTTTACTGTTCATCAACATTGTCCTTTAGCTCCATTGTTACTTTATTTTGATTACTTAATTGTTCTTACTGCCTTAAGCCACCTCGAGGTCGTCGTCTCAAGGTCGTCACTGTCAAGTATTATTGGTTTGAATCACTTCTATCTTTCATTTCTACTTCATATTTCTTGATTATTAATCGGTATTGAACTAAATCACATATCTTTAAAACCACTAGTCAAGTTTAATTGTTACTCGGATTTTCGAGGTAAACAATGTCCAAACCATCTAAGTCGTGCTTCCCGCATCTTGTCCTCAATAGGGGGGCACATTCACTTTGTCCCGAATGACTTCATTCCGAATCTAATCTGGTGTGCGCGCACATCCATCTCAACATCCTCATCTCTGCTACCTTCATCTTCTGGACGTGAGAGCTCTTGACTGGCCAACACTCAGCCACATACAACATAGTCGGTCTGAACATCGCTTTATAAAACATACTTTTAAGTTTTGGTAGTACCTTCTTGTCACACAAAATACCGGAAGTAAGTCTCCATTTCATCCATTCCGCCCCAATATGATGTGTGACATCTTCATCAATCTCCCCACCCCCTGTATAATAGACCCAACGTACTTAAAACTCCCTCTTCTAGGGATGACTTGTGAATCCAGTCTCACCTCCCCTTCCACTCCCTGAGTAGCACCACTAAGCTTACACTCCAAATATTCTGTCTTGGTTCTGCTCAACTTAAAACCTTTTGACTCAAGGGTCTGTCTCCTCACCTCTAACCTCGCGTTAACACTGTCTCGCGTCTCGTCAATCAAAATAATATCGTCTGCAAATAAAATGCACCACGGCACCTCCCCTTGGATGTGGCGAGTCAGTACGTCCATCGCCAGGGCAAATAAAAAAAGGGCTGAGTACCGACCCCTGATGCAACCCCATCATGACCAAAAAATGGTCCGAGACCCTCCCACTATCCTCCCACAGGTCTGCGCTCTCTCGTACATGTCTTTAATCACCCTAATGTAGGCCACAGATACCCCTTTAGCCTCCGAACATCTTCACAGAACCTCCTTCGAAATTTTGTCATAAGTTTTTTTTTAAATTGATGAACACCATATGCAAGTCCCTCTTCCTCTCTTCCTTTACTAATTTTCATTTGGTTGCTGACCATTGATTCTTTTCTTGGTTTCATACGAAAAGAGATGGAATACTACATGGTTCTTGACTCTACTACTTAATACCTGGAAATTGTCCTGAATAAAGAAATGTATTTGTTTTCCATCTCCAAAGGAATTTCGTTTATTTCCCTTGGGAAATTTAAGTTGCCCCAAGAAAAACTTCTTTAAGCTGTAAATTAGAACAATGTCGCCCTTAGCAATTTTTTTAACTTTTTGAGTTTTCATGCTCCACAAATTTTTATATCAGTGTGATAAATGTTCTACTAAAAACAAGCTAAAAATGTAAAGCATAGCTTACTGATTAGTTTTCTTTTGAATAGGAAAGCTACAATCTCCCGATTCAAAGAAAATTTAACGATGAAATTTCTTTTTTGTTTGTTCTTAAATGAATAATAAATAAAGCAGAATTGTGTTAAAATTATAGGAGGGGAGTCCTGACGTAACTGATAAAGTTACTTTCATGTCATCATGAGGTCACGTGTTCGAACCGTAAAAACAGCCTCTTGCAGAAATATGTCTGGCCCTTCCCCAGGCCCTGTGTATAGCGAGAGCTTAGTACACCGAGCTGCCTTTTTTTGTGTTAAAATTATACTACTAGAGAACACCATGAAAACACATGTAGCGGGAAATATAAGGAAAACAAAGCAAGACAAACATAAATTGTCTTCCAACACAAATAAAAATGTACTAGCGTCATTAGCCAATTTCAGAAACTAGTCGAAACTTCACTTTCCCTTTGTACAAACACAAATACAAGAACGTACGAGCCTGCACTTTTTTTCCCCCTCTGCTTGCTAGTAAAGTAAACGTGAGCTCTGTTTATGAAAAATGCTTGGGCCATATGTGGACATACACATATCTAACAAGAGACGAAATTGCAAGGACTCAAATAGGATTACTGGAATGAGGCCTGCTATGCCCACTGGAATGAGTATCAGTCCGTTTTTCTGACCGAAAACGAGATAAATTGTAGCACCAAATGCTATCATCAGAGATGTCATTGAAATAAACAGTGTACCGAGGCCTATAATTAATCGTTTTGGAAGAGATCTAAGAAAATCTGTTTCTGCATATCTCGCGGTGAGGATAGACAAAAACATTAGCACAGAGGCAACAGAAGAGAACAGACAGAATGCAACCGAAACAGCAAAAATCGTGAAGGCCGGTTCTTTTGAGAAGATTGGGAAACCTTTGCTTTGATTTCCTCCTGGTACAGTGATGGCTGCTGCAAATCCTACCGTTGCTGTTAAGGCCGCCACAAATGTGCATGAATTTGCAGTTTCTTTCATCCATTTCTCTCCTTCTTTGACCAATTCCTTGTGTTCCTCAGTGAACACCATTTTTGGAGTTTTTCCATATGAGTTTCTATTTGTCCTTAAAGTTGGATGAACAAACTTTTCCACTTCCTGCATACACGTAAATGCATGTACTCATGTTAATGCAAGTGTTGAAGCAATCATAGAATGACATAATTTACACGTAATGTGCACTAAGCTCCCGCCATGTGCGGGATCGGGGAAGGGCCGGACCACAAGGGTCTATTATACGCAGCCTTCCTGCATTTCTACAAGAGCCTGTTTCCACGGCTCGAACCCATGACCAGTTACGCCAATGCTCCCCTTCATAATTTAGATGATAGAAGAATTTTAAATTATTTTGTTGGTCAATCTTTTAAACGGCTCCGGTTGCTTTGCCTTTTAAGCTCGTAAAGCATTGTGCATTAAGAAATGACTTCGCATGCTTATTTGTAAAGTCTTACTCCACAAGAGATACTTCACAGGTTTATCATTTACAATCATTCCATATGCTCAAACTCACCTCATCCATTTTGATAACATTATTTTCTCAGATTTTGTTGTATCTCCTACTAATTCTATCCGTTTTAATTTGTTTGAATCTATTTGACAGGGTACGAAATTAAAGAAAAAAAGAGAATACTTTTGAAACTTGTGGTCTAAAATGAACCATAGATATTTGTGTGACTATATATCATCTTATGAAGGATAAAAGGAGAATTTCAAAGTTAAATTGTTTCCAAATTTAGAAAGGGTTCATTCTTTTTTAAACTGACTAAAAAGGAAATAGGTTCATTCTTTTTGAAACAGAGGGAATATCATTTTAATAAAGTTACTCAACCACATGATCCTTAAACCATATTCAAAAACCTAAAGACGCGCATCTCGCTTGTCACAAGCACTTACCTTACCTTCTCAACTTCCTATAAAAATACTACAACAATAATAAGTTAATAACATACCCAGTGTATTACCATAGTGTAGTGTGGTGTCTGGGATTCCGTTGAAAACACTAAACAAAATTAATCCTAACCGCGGAAAGCTATATGGTGAAAACATAGAACACCCCACGCCAACTCCACATATGAAATGCCGAGTGTTGATGGTACTGAACGAGTACCCCTTGCACACTAATGCAGAATAGGTCCGGTCGTCAAGCCAAGCCTAACTAAATTTGTTCTATTATCGAGCTGAATCAAGTCCAACCAAGCTTCTACTAGACTGAGCTGAGGGTTCAACCAAGTTTTGCTATAGTAGTACAATGTAATTGAGCTTGAGCCAACTCTTTAAGTTCAGTTTCCTACTTATGCTACTATGCTTCTCGTATATCTGTTGAAATTCTAGTTCACTTCAATTTAAGTAAAAAGATCTCTTTTTCCCTTAGTTCATACATATTATTCCATAAATGGCTGCCAATCTTAATAAACCAAAGCACCAATATTTTTATGTTTTAATAAAGATCTAGAACCAAGTTATAATAGTGAAGCTCATACCTGGAACCACTGAAGTTCGCGCTGCATTTGCAAAGCTGCACCTGAGATAAGATTGAGTCGGCCAAGAGGTGCTAATTTTCCAGCCATATGTAATATATTGTTTCCTGAAGTGTCTTCATCAGTTGTTACCAAATGTTTATACAAACTTAACTGATATATGAAGTTAAACACCTTTTCATGCCGATTTATTACCGCAAGGTGAAATAAGTTATGATTTTCAGAATTAACAAACCAAATTGCGTCAGGGTAGCAATCTACAATTTCTTCTATGATTTCAGGAATTCCCGAACTTGCTGCCAACAGAACTGCCTTTCTGAGTACTGGCTCAATATCCTTAGGTTTATACTCTTTCATAAGCTCCTTGCAAAGACGTTTCACGATATCAAGAGTCTCTTTATGCATTAACTTTATATCCTTAATGTGCTTGAATATTGCTGCTGTAAACAATGAAACTCTATCAGAACACGAGAACTAGCAAATGTTATAGAAACAACATATCAGAGGATTACCATAATAATTTCCAAACAGAGGAAGTGACTACCCTTTTACAAGTATTTTCGTCATATCATAGTCGCTGCTGTTAATCATAATTATCCTAACAATAACGACAATAGTAATAATGTCTGAGAAGAGTTGTTACTATTGATTTTCTTGATACAAAGGCCAAAATGGACATGTTAAACATAAATATTAAGGAAGTACTTACCTCTATTAATCATCCTAGCAAGCCACGCTTGAATTGTGATGACACAATTGCGTGGATACTTCACGAAACACTCCCATGTTAACTCATTAGTAGGCTGTGGCGATTCTGTTGAGGGTACTGTGACTGAGGGCTGATTTACAACAAAGGACTTTTCAATGTCTGACAATCTTCTTTCTAAGTTTGCCTGTGCGACTTCACAAGAAAATGCAAAGCAATTAGGTTTTAAAGTACAACCTGCTTAGAAGTACATGTAGTCTTCTTTATTTATTCCATGTGGATTGATTTTGTAGTGGGGATTGGGTTAGTGACTAGTGATCTCTCACGTATGCAGCATAACTATCGCTTGAAAGAACATAAGCAGAAGAAAATATTGCTGGTGATAATATGATCATAGTAGGAATATTACCAGAATAAAGTAAGCGTTGCCAAAAGCCTAGCTGAGTCCCACTCCGAAATGCAGAAGGTGTCTCAGCCATCAAACTCAAAAGCGATACATCATCATTGTCACCATAAAACTCTGCCCGGGCCAAACCAGGAAAACGTCGAACCAGAGCTAGCAGCACATCTATTTTACACAAAAAAGAGATTCTCAAGATGAGTCGGTAAAATGGAGTATATCCCCAATCAAAAGCAAACCATCTCCTTAAGTATATACTACTATCTTACCGTAGAATTCGGCTACAACTAGCAGATGGAGAAAGGTGGAAGCAGCTGATTCTTTAGTTGGTGGGGAGTCTGCCATCTTCGTGGCCATATCCCCAATCCAAAGTAAAACCATCTCCTTATGGCCATATCTAGCAGCCTCTATAATCGGATACCGCCCAACAGTATCGTCGTCAGTCGCTCGCACACTCCGGATTTCCGTTTCAAGTTGCAGCAACTTCTTGGCAGCCTCCATGTTCCCAACCTTTGCAGCCACACAAAGAGGTGTATGACCATTGTTGTTACGAATAACCAACCCTTCTAATGCATAACTTTTTGGTTTACTTATCACAGAATCATACCACTTTCCAGCACCAACAAGTACGTGAAGGCCAGTGTCCCCAGCTCTTGTTACCTTCCTACATATAGTCACATCTGGTGGAAATTTCGAGAGAGCTTTAGCTTCTTTTTCAAAACCACTCTGGTTTTCTCTGAGTAATGCACGGTATAAAGGCAAGCATCCCCACAACTTCTTCTCCTCATTTATGTTCTCTGTTCAAAATATAGCCAAATCATTCTCAATGGGCACAGAGGAAGTAATTGGGAAGGGGGTGTAGGCAGAGGGGGACCCAAGATTCGACAGGGCACCGTTACATTCAATATAAATCTATCGTTGCTCATAAAAATTGGTACGATGGCCTTTGTTAATATCTGGCTATTTCTTGAAGAAATTAGCAAGTAAATATATGGAGTTTTTGCCGAAGTTTCCGGGTGCTGGTGACCCCTCTGCCTACTATGTAGGTCCGACTCTGGGTGTAGGGATGAAGAAAGAGAAGGAAAAACTTTTTACCTTCACCGATTTCTTCGAAGCTACTCCGGTTTGTTCTGGCTGCTAAACTGTACAAATTTTCCATCCTACCGCTCCTTGGGATGGCTGGTGAATAAGGAGTTAAAACTTGAGTCTTACTGCTTCTTGTGTTGGCTGCTAGATTAGGACTGGGAGATTGTCTGCTTGTGCTAGCTGCTAGATTAGGTACATTAGGACTGCGCGGTCGGTGAAAATTACTGTTGCTCGAGCTAGCTGCTGCTAGAGCTTGTGCAGCTTGGTCAAAACCATGTTCATCCCCTCTGAGTATTGCAAGGCATAAGGGCAAGCATTTCAACAACAGCTCTTCGCTTTTGTCTGTTCAAGTATAGCCCCAAATCATTCTCAATGGAGACACAGGAAGTAATTGGAAAGGAATGCAGGAACAAATACAAGAGAAGACAACGACAACAACAAAAAAAAACATAGTGTATCCCGCAAATAGTGGTTTGGGGAGGGTATTATGTACGCAGCTTTACCCCTACCTTATACAGGTAAAGAGGCTGTTTCCGGTAGAACCTCGGCTCCAAGCAAGCATGCAAATCACAACAGTATAGAAAAAAAATGTACATTAGTGTAAAAGTCAGGAAAGCAATAACAACAGCTAGGGAGTAGAGCAACCAAAACACACGTGATACCAGGTAGTAATAGAATTTTAAGCATATGGAAAATACTAAAATACGCCACCATTAGTGAAAGGAAAAGGGGAACATGCACTGGCTGCTAGACTTCTACCCTAATCCACGCCCTCCACGTAAGCCTATCACAGGTCATATCCTCGGTGAGCAACAAATACTAGAGAAGGAAAAGCTTATTACAGGACTGGGCGATTGTTGAACATTACCATTGCTTGTGTTGGCTGCTAAATTAGGACTTGGCGTTTCACCTTTGCTTGTGCTGCTGGCTGTTAGACTAGGACTGGGTGATTCTTGAAAATTAACGTTGCTTGTGATTTCTGCTTGATTAGGAACCGACACTGTGTCATATTCATCGTCGCTTGTGATTTCTGCTGGATTAGGAATGGACACTGTGTGATAATCATCGTGGTTTGTGCTTTCTGCTTGAATAGGACTGGGCGGTTTTTGAAAATTACCGTTGGTTGTGCTGGCTGCTAGATTAAGACACGGCGATTCGTGCACATGACTGTTGCTTGGTGAGGACGACATGCTTATCAGTGTCGGAATTGAAGTGCTCAGCCTTCAACAACTGGATAGTTGGAACTAGTATTCTCCCTTCATTGGATTTATGTCTTCAATTAGCACACCAAAATTGACTTCTTTTGTTTCCTTTTCTTTCTTTATTTCCCCTTTCCAACCTGGTTTCCACCCCAAAGTATCTAGCATTTGTTCACACGAAAAAGTTGTTCACACGTACAAAATACGCAGCAAAATTGAATTTAAAATAAGAAAGTTGGCGTTACCGGACCTACGGGACTGGACGGGACGGGACGAGATAAACGGGACGAAATGGTCGTCCCATCCCGTCCCGCTAACAAACGGGATGAAACGAGACGGAACGGGACGAGACGGGATGACGGGCCTTAAGTGGGCTGCTTTTAAAAAAAAAAAAATATTTAAGCATTAAGTTTGGCAACAACTAGTTTTTTGACAATGACTAAGTTTTTAAAGTTTGCAACGACTAATTTTTTAACTTATTTAATAAACTTAAATGTTAAAACCCAAATTAGGAAACTAAATAAAGAATTATAAAATATTAAAACAAAAGACTTGTAATGAAATATTCTAGTAATTATAATAGAATTATAATTTACTTAATACAATTTCAAGCCATTAAGTAACTAAATAAGAGTGTAAGACAATTCTTAAAAAAATTCAACGCTTAGAACCTTTTATTTTATTAATAGAACTTTAAAATCTCACATACAAATATAATTCTTTTGAAGATCACCTAATCTACGCAACCACCTTCTAGGAAGTGTTCTGTTTGAACTAGGCCTCTTGGTAGCCAATTACAAATTATCATACTAATATTTGTAAGCTCCTATATAGCTTCGTTGTAACTTATCTATAATTTGTCTCAGACATTGTTCTGGAATTGGCAATGTTGATTGATGTTCTATGAGCTTCATGCCGTCATCGGTCCCAGTATTAAGTATCTCATTGTATTTTTCTTCTTCCCCAGTGGTTAATTTTTCAAAACCAAGATTTCTTCTTTCTGCAGTAATCCAGTCTATGAATAATACGGAAATCTCTAGGTTGTCCTCTGCTAATTCGTCTATGATCTCCGAGTTAAAATATTGTTGCGCTAAAAACATTCTCCGATGCTTAGAATCAAGTTCATTATCAATAAAGGAATCAAAATATGTTATATCATCCATATCTTCCCATAAAACTTCTACTCTAGACTTTAGAAGTAGAAGGAGCAGTTTCACCACCTTTTGTTTCCATAGATTTATATTTATCAAACATTGATCTAGATTCTAGCATAAGAATATATGTTAGCTTGGAAGTGTTCGAGAGATGGTTGTTCATTTTCTTGAATTGCTAAATTTTGATAAATTTTATGAACAAATCCCTTTGCACCTCTTAATTTTAAATATGGGTTAACTATAGTAGAAATTAAATAAACTTGGGGAATAGAGAAAAAAATACTTTTCAAATTTTGCAATCATTTCATTAATGGTCGGTACATAAGTTGGATTTGTTTTATACTTACCAAATACAACAAAAATTCCACAAATATACCATAAAAACTCGCGGGACAGTCGGATAGGCGGGACGAGACGGGATGGGACGGACAAATGGGACGAAATGGTCGTCCCGTCCCATCTCGTGTCCCGTTTAATATTGGCTCATCCCGTTTAAAATGAAGTGGGATGGGACGGGACGCGGGACGGAACGTGGCCGTCCGGTTAGACAGCCATATCCGGACCTATAGAACCAGACAAACAAAACTCAAATAGCAGCTATTTGGAAAACTGCGCCATTGGCCAATTCCAAGCGCTTGATTTCAGCTCGACGAGAGCGTCTACTTAATATGCCTAGTGATTTGAAACGACACAGCATTTGATCAAATTGACCATTAACAGGATCAAAGTAACTAACTTTATTCTAAGTAGAGGTGTTAATTGGGTCGGGCTGACCCGCTAACAACCGGTTCAACCCAGGTCAGCTCGGTCCATCCCGTTACTGTGCATATGTTTGCGGTTTGGGACGGGTTGGACGGGGGGCGGGCTAGTAACGTTAAGTTTTCGCCAAACGGGTACCCGAACCCGCCACAACCCGTTAAGCCCTTAACGGGTTCTTAACGGGCCTCAGCCCGCGACAGCCCGCTAAACCGCCTAATTTTATTTTATTTTTTTAAAATTAAATCTGACCGTTACCAACGGTCAAATCTGTCAAAAACAGCCAAAATTTGGTATTTTATTTATATTTTAGCCCCCCTCCCCCTTATAATTTGTAAATTGCAATTGAATCCTTTTAAAAAACTATAAATACTCCCTTTCTTTTTCATTATTCCTCACAATTATCTCTCAATTCTCTCTAATTATCTCTCAATTCTCTCTTGATAATATTCTCAATTGCTCATTATTTCAAGCTTTCAAGTTTCAACTTACAAGTTTCATACTTTCATTACAAAAGTATTATTATCATAAATTTCTAATTCAATTATTCAAGTGAAGTGTGACATTAATTATCAAGTTATCAAATATCAATTGAAGATTTGAAGTTTGAGTTTCTACTTTCTCGTTTCTATATCAAATTTAGTGCGGCATTCGGAATCCCGGTACACTCGTTCCATCCCTTTCTCTTTATTATTTAGAATTATTATTTGAATTTTTTGTTTTAAATTAGATAATGGATTTACTTAGAGCGGCCAAAAAAGCTTGCACTAGTAAAGGTGGTAGTAAGAAAAATTCCAAAAGAGTAAGAGGTGGTTCTTCTAGTAGTGCAACACATGTTTCTGAAAGTTCACCCGAAAACGTAAATGTAGATTATGAGCTACTTCAAGAAAATTTTGGTATTGTTGATGATTTAGATGATATTTTAGATGATATTCAATCACCCGATAATCTTGAAACACCACCACCTACCCCCGATAATGCTAGTCAAAATATTAGCGGTGGAAGTGTAAGTAAGCCTCCTTTGCCTATTAAGAAGAATAGAAGATTAAGAAGTAAGTGTTGGAATTTTTTTGATAGACTAGAAAATGAGAAAAATTATGTAAAATGTAAAATATGTAATGAAGTTTATAAACACGAGCCCGGTAAGAATGAGGGAATGGGTCAACTTCGTAGGCACATGAAAGAAATTCATCATATTGATTGGGGAGTAGGCGATGAAGCTGGGCAACAAAAACTTAACCCGGTCACTGGGAAAATACGATATTAAAAAAGATCGAGAAGAATTAGCTAAAATGATTGTTTTAGGTTGTTTACCTTTTAGTTTTGCTTCTTCACCATATCTTGTTACTTATATTCAAAGAATTTATAACCCTATGTTTAAAGGTATTCCTAGAAGTACTTGTAGATCTGATATCTTTAGGCTTTATGGACAATATCAGACATATATACGTTATTTGTTCGCTAGTCTTTCTTGTAAAGTTTCTCTTACTTCTGATATTGGTCGTGCTGTAAATGAAAATGATTATTTAACTGTTACATGCCATTGGATAGATGATAATTTTTGTATGCAAAAATGTATTATTGCTTTTAAATATGATGAAGATCAAAGTCATACCGGTGCATTTATAAGTGCTACTATCCATGAAGTTGCTTTATTTTATAATCTTTCTGAAAAAGTTTTGTGTATGTCATTTGATAATGCTTCTAACAACACTTCTGCTATTACATTACTAAAATTGCATCTACGTCCACCACTTCCTGAAATATTTCATATTAGACGTGCATGTCATATTTATAACTTGATTGTGAAGAGTGGCCTTGACTTATTTCACAATGACGTCACTTTAGTTAGAAGAGTTGTTGGTGTAATTCAAGGAAATAATAGAAGTGCTAGATTAAATGCATTTAAGGAAAAATGTGTACACTATGAACTAAAATCAAGACGCATGCCTGAAGAAATAGTTACTAGATGGAATTATACTTATTTGTTCCTAAGATGTTGTTATAAATATAGAATGCCTATAACTGAAGTTGCTAATTCTCATTGTACCGATCCTAACCGTCTGTTAACATCTAAAAATTGGGATGTCATTCATGATGTTGTACAATTTTTACAAAAATTTTATGTGGCTACACTTGAGTTTTCTGGAGCTTATTATCCTACTATTGTAAATGGTTTAGTTCACATTGCTGAAATTTCTCTTTTACTACATAAGTTGAAGGCGAAAGAGGGATATACTAATGTTGTTGAAACCATGCTAGATAAGTTTAAAAAATATTTCTTCCTAAAATGTTGTTGAAACCATGCTAGATAAGTTTAAAAAATATTTCTTCCCAATTCCCCCTATTTACCTAATTGGTGCTATTTTAAACCCTACTATCAAAATGATAAAATGTCGCCAATTAATCAGTGCTTTATATACTTATATGGATATTGGACCAACTGAAACTCCTGATACTGAGACTTGTATTTCTGATCTGCACAAACATTTACAAATTTTGTATAATTGTTATGCTAACATTGTTGATGCTTCTTTGATTGTAGGTGCAAATATTCCTTCAAGTAATACTTCAACATCTGGAACAAATTTGGAAAATGATGATAATGTTCAAGATTATTTGATTTGGTCTACACTAGGAGAGCATCAACAAACCAGTAGCCGGAATATTGATGAACTCCAATTCTACTTGCAAAAGTCACCGGATCCTCTCACAAAGGATTTTTTACCTCTGAGTTGGTGGAGGAGCAACGCAAATCAGTTTCATGTTTTTTCGGCCATGGCTCGAGATGTTCTAAATGTGCCTATTTCAACAGTCGCATCAAAGAGCGCATTTAGCCAAGCAAGACAACAATTAGGAGATACCCGT